CACACCTGTATAGTCCCCTATCATACTGGCTCTACATTTGGTATGTGACTGGCTTTGGCCCTAGGGCAGCAACACCCAAGATGCAAATAGGGCTTGAAAAGTATTTGTACATTTGGGCTTTGCTCTTGGAACCCCTGCCCTATGTGGAGAGTCCTGTGCTATCCCACTGGAGGCATGTTGTTCAGCCAACAACCAGGACCAACTTCCAGACATATGAGTGAGGCCATCTCAGACCATCCAATCCCAGCCAGGCCTCCAGATAACTGTGGCTGTCTAAGGACCCAAAGCAAGATCCACAGAAGAACCATCCAGTTGAGCCCTGCCCAAATAGCTGACATTCAGAATTGTTAACAAATAACACAGTTGTTGTTTTAAGCCACTAACTTTTGAAGTAGGTTATTATGCAGCAAGGCTGATAGAGCCCAAATCCAGGGCATTTCATGGAGTAGCAATAGCAGTTTGGAACAGAGTAACTGTTGAAAGAGTCTGCAGTACTTTCACAAGACAATAGGAGAGTCAGTTGGCTGAAAATGTGGAGTCAGAAATATTAGGTTAAGAGAATGCCATATGGTGTTACTCCTGCTTTTACCTGGCTTTCATTCTCTGACTTCTGGGTTAAGAATGTGGGGAAAATAAGCCAATCTTCATGATCACACCAGAAGACCAGAGGAGAGAGAAATCATGCTGCATCCTGAAAGAGCCAATTAGTATCTTATTTTATCTACTGGTAATAAAGTACTTTCCAACAGCACAGTAATATACCTGACCAGTTGTACAGCTACACATTGCCTTCTGCTCCAGTTCCTCCCCTACCACTATCATTTCTCCCTCAGCATTACCACTACAGATTGGAGAGGCTGAGGAAAGCAAAGGGAAAAGGCTTCAACCAAAAACAAAGAAAATCCCTCAGCTCTGTAGAGCCAAGAATCCTGCTAATCTCTAGTGATAGCAACACTGAGAATACAACCATCCTCCAGCCCAATTTAGTCCTTTAAAAATGAGAAACATATATACAATGGAATATTACTCAGCCATCAAAAAGAATGAAATCTTGCCATTTGCAACAACGTGGATGGAGCTAGAGACTACTATGCTAAGCGAAGTCAGTCAGTCAAAGACAGACAAATAGCATATGATCTCACTCATATGTGGAATTTAAGAAACAAAACAAATGGGGGGGGTGCCTGGGAGGCTCAGTCATTAAGCGTCTGCCTTCGGCTCAGGTCATGATCCCAGGGTCCTGGGATCGAGCCCCACATCACGCTCCCTGCTCAGCGGGGAGCCTGCTTCTCCCTCTCCCAGTCCCCCTGCTCATATTCCCTCTCTCACTATGTCTCTCTCTGTCAAATAAATAAATAAAATCTTTAAAAAACAACAACAACAAATGAACATGGAGGGAAAAAAAAGAGAGGCAAACCAAGAAACATGCTCTTAACTATAGAGAACAAATGGAGGGTTACTAGAGGGGAGGTGGGCGGGGAGGGGATGGGTGAAACAGGTGATGGGGATTAAGGAGTGCACTTGTGATGAGCACCGAGTGTTGTAAGTGATGAATCACTAAATTCTACACCTGAAAGTAATATTGCACTGTATGTTAACTAGCTGGAATTTAAATAAAAACTTAAAGGAAAAAAATGAGACCCTTCCTACACAGTAAAGGAAACCATTTAAAAAATGAAAAGGCAACCTACTGAATGGGAGGAAATGACTGCAAATCATATAATTGAAAAGGAATTTCTAAAATATATGAAAAACTGGGGCACCTGGGTGGCTCAGTCAGTTAAGTCAGTTGATTTCTGATTTTGGCTCAGGTCATGATCTCAGGGTTGTGAGATCAAGTCCTGCATTGGGCTCCACACCCAGTGGGGAATTGGCTTGAGGATTCTCTCTTACCCTCTCCCTCTGCCCCCCCCCTCTGCTATTGCTCTCTTTCTCTCTCTCTCAAAAAATAATAATAAAAATAAAATAAAGGAAAAGCTCACATAATTCAATAGCAAAAAACAATCTGATTTAAAAATAGGCAAAAGATCTGAATAGACATTTTTCCAAAGAGGATATACAGGTAGCCAACAGACACATGAAAAGATGCTCAACATCTTTTGTGTATATAAATATATATATATGTGTATATATATATACACACACACACATATATACATACACAATTATATAGTTTATTGTATATAATTAGCCATGTATATATGTATATAATTTCTATAATTGCATATATATGTATATACTTTAGCCATAATAAAGAATAAAATCTTGTCATTTGCCACATGGATGAACCTTGAGGGCATTATGCTAAGTGACATAAGTCAGAGAAAAACATACCAAATACCATATGATCTCTCTTTTATGTGGAATCTTAAAAAAAAAAAAATCCAGAATGGATTCCTGTGCATTTTCAGCATATTCGGTGCCTGTTATGAAAACGAGCCCTCTAAAATGGGAGACAATAATGCTTAGGAAATTCACATGAAGCATGAATCTTACTTATTAGTCTAACCTAATGAGACTAATCAGGTATCCTGTCAATTATCAATATTTACATCAATATTTACTCAATGTCTCCTCAAATGTCAGCAGTAACAGAGGAAAGTAATACTATAAGCTACCTATTTTGGACACTTAGGTATCCAACAAATACTTTTCATTGATTGATTATCATACAAATCACAGGTTGATTAAAAAAAATCACCCACGAGTTCATCTGCAAACTAGGATTATGTGAAATGATGTTCTTTCACAGTTGGCGTGCTCCTCTTTAATTGTTTTTCTCAGGCTTGTGCTGAAATGAGCTTACATTTCTTAGTATGCGCCAGTTAATGCGACAGAGAACTGGCCAGGAAGTTGCTGAGGGAGAAGAGGAATTGAGTTTGGGATTAGCATTTGTCCAGCATTTGCCAGACAAAGTCCTTGTTGGTTGGTGTCTGGGCTATTCGGGAAGTCCTTCTCATGGCACCGTTTCTTATATTGTCAACTTGACAACATCCCAGGGCAGAGGCAGCTGGTTTTCAGCCATGCAGAAACCGTGTTGCTCACATTATTATGGCACTTTGAGTCCAACGTTCAAATAAGGCTTTCATACATTCCTTTTTTCTTTTTCACCAGTTTTTCTAATAGGCAAGTGAAAGCCGTGATGTCACACATACATACAAAATGAGAAACAGAGGCTTTCAGAGGCTGATCTGTCCACAGCCATATAGCTAAACGTGATTAAGCTGACTCCTGAACCCAGTCCAAAGGCTAACACTTTACAACAGTGTGGGACACAGGATATAAATACTGGGGCCCAAAGAAGGAAACTTATCATCCAGTTCTATTCTAATAATCCTTCTGTTCTTGATTGATTTGAGAATATCATCCAATTAATCACCTAAGACAGTCAAGGGAGCCATAAGACACACTGACTGTAATAATATTTAGAATAAGGACTAGGAAACTTGGTTGACCAAAGAATAGGAGAGGAAAAAAAAAATCCATCAGTACTGCATTATGAAAAAGACTGATATTTACTTGTAGGCCCTCTTCTTCTACTTCTATTAAAGTGCCAATTTATAATGGCCATAGTAGCATATTTTACCTCATAAGGAAAATACTGTCTTATGACTTGAAATATAAGCAGAAGCTAATAAATGATCTGGCCTATCATTCTTAAAGCAGACATATGCATGCATGATAAATGTAATATATATATATATATATCTGGTTTTATTTCACACTCTAGGGAAAATGCCCTGATCTCTTTTTCACTTCTAACTTACTATGTGAACAAGAACAAGTTCATGTTCAATTCAATTAAACTACTCTAGGTCTGAAATGTTTCACTAATAAAACAAGGTGATTGTACTTCAAGTCTGAGGCAACACAGGAGAATGAAAGAATTTTGGATGCAGCCACAGTTGAGACTAAATCCGGGACCTAGCATTTTGCTCAATGTCTGGCTGTGGGTCTATACTTCACCTCTTTCCTCATTCAGGTAAGTGGACACCTTTCTGCCAGGTTTTGGTAAAAATAAAAAAATAATATGCTTAACATTTATTACCCAGCACCATGCCTGACCACAGGAGTGCTCAATAAAGAACAGCGGATGATAATCATTCATTCATTCATTCATTCGTCACACATTCACCGAACCTCAGCTCCATACCAGGCATTATTCTAGGTGTGAAGGATACAGGAGTTTACAAAACGGACAACACTCCCTGCCTCTCAGCTCACACTGTGGCAGCAGGGAGACCCAAAACTGTACAGAGGAGCTAGGTGCCTAATGCTGCAGAAAGCTTCCAATTCCATTCTCAGCCTCTCTATAGAATCCAGAACAGTTCATCCCCCTGAGCCTCATCCCAGGCTGGCCAGGTCCTCACCGACTTAAGGAGAAGGCACGCAACAGAAATTCAGCTGTTAGACCTCTCTCATCACCGCAGTACAGTAAACACCACGGAGGGCAGAGCTACGTCTGGGCTTCACACATATCTCACATCTTTGCCCCTTCCCCCTCTCCTTTGCCAGACCTGTTCCCTGAGCCTGCACCAGAGCCTTCCAGAAGCCTCCGTGAAGGCCAAGTTCGCTTAGAGGCACCACTCCGTACTCTCCACCAGAGGTCGCCCTCCCACACAAGCCCAAACCAACAGAACCCGGCTCTGCCTTCTCGGCAGCAGTGACATTATTTTCTTTCTCTATTTTTATCTATTAAAAAGATTTCTTCACAGCCATAACTTAGATCTCTACACTAAAATGGAGCAACAGGAAGATATAATGGTACATTTCATTTATGAATGACCTATAATAAATTACTCTGAAGTGTCCCGAGTGCCAGAAGACAGAACGCTTTGTCTGCCCATGGACTGCATTTCACATACTTTAATTTAGCTGACACATAAAACTCATTTGACATTTCGCAGGTATTTGTGTGGGGCGGGGGAGGGGGGTTGTGCCGCCGGGGACCACTGCGGGGCAGGCTGGGGAGTGGAGGCAGCGGGCAGAGCCAAGGATATCTGGTTCTTGTTGAGGGTTAAGGTATGAAGCCTGGGTAACCCTGGCAACACGAGGTCGTTCCCGAGCAGATTGTTGTCCAAGATGAGTTCCTCCAGGCTCCTGAACGCGCTCAGTCCTTCCAGTGACCTGCAATGACAAAGGCAACAGGAAAAATGATCCTGCACTAAATCAGGGAGGCCATTATGAGCCGAAATAAATATTTTAACCTTCCCTTTCAGGACTGGGAATAGTTTGGGCTTGGTGCCTGTCAGCAAAGTGAATGACAAGAATTAGTAGCAGGAGCTGGGGTGGGGGCGGAGGGGGAGAAGGGGCCGCTCGCACTCACCGCATCCTTCACGCATTGCCAACATGAAGGATGAGGGTCACTTAGTGAGTAGCCAGGATCCAAAACAAAGGGCTTCAGATACGGCCTGCAGGATAAATTTGTCAATGTCTTGTGCCTTCAGGCACCCAGCCTCGGCTGACCCTAACCTCCATTCCCAAGATAAATAACTCTGTCACAGTTCACCTTCATTCCCTGGACACAAATTTAAGTTGTCATCCATCATTCCTGCCCAGAAATATCATACCCCTCTTACAATAATAAATATAACTTCAAGTATCATTTCTTAGCGGTTCTCCTCTGCACAGTCCAGGCAAAGGCAAGGAAGGCTTCCTTTCTCTCCTTTTGCTGCCTTTGACTTTTTCCCCCCTCTGCCTTTTTTCTTTACTAATCACTTAATTTGCTTCTGCCCAGTGTCCCTGTGGCTGCCCCCAGAAGGCAAGGCATCTGCAGAAGCACACGATCACTCCAGTCGGAGAGCGCTCTTTTTCTTTCATGATTTTTCTTTTTGTTTTAGTTTTTGTTGAGGTGGGGGGGGGTGATTTAAGGAAGGAGTTGGGGGAATTTCTGTTTCAATACTCCCGACTTGAAGTTACGGTTTTAATTTATGGAAAGTGGATTTCTCACTTTATTTTTGAAAGAAGCGTGGAATGGCAGCAATGTAGATGTCAAGGCAGTAAATAATCAAGCATCTGAAAGAATTAAGCACCGGCTCAGGGAAAAAAAAAAAAAGTACCAGAAAGGGAAAAAATTGCCGTGTTTTTACACTTAGCTGAAAGTTAACTCTTAACGTTATGGGCTCAGGAGTGTTGAGGGGGGGCGGGGGTGACGGCGGTGAGGGGCAGTTGTGCGCATGTGCTCTCCGGGCCGCTCACAGACGTTCATTAGGGAAAGCCGCCCGGTGGAGGGACTTCCACAGACGCACATACTCCCAGCTCGTTCACCTGCCAGACCCTAGAGTCGTGCTGAGCTTGCACAGCCTGACAGCTGAGCTACGAGTCGACCAGAGGGCGGACTCACACGGGATCTCCTGGCTATTCTATAAAATGTGACGAATCAGGGAGATGTTGTCTACACTATTCATTCATTTACTGATAGCTATGTCCATTACAGACCCGCCTGCTTGTGTGTGCAGCGCCTGCACAACTGATGTGAGTGTGAACTTTAGCACCAAGGCTCTCTCCGGACAGCTGCATCTCCCTTGTGGGACCTCTGCCCAGCCGACTCCAAAATAGGGAGTCAGTGCCAGGGAAGTGTAATGTGCACTGTGAGTTGCTGAACCCCTGGACTCCACCGTGCCCAGAGCTCCCTCAGCAGGTTCCATTCCTGCCTGATTCACCCCCAGTCCCCACCCCACCCCACTGCCCAGCACCCTGACCACCCCTAACTCCTAAGACCAGCACTACCTGCTCCACAGGAGGAAGGTGACACCACTTAACATTTGAGGGTAAGGGTCAATGGGGTTATTGTGTTTCATTTCTTCCTCATGTATCAGGGAGGCAAATCACAACTCACACACATGGAACTTGGGACTCTGGGACTTTACCTCAGCTCTACCATTTACTTGAAGTATGAATTTGGGCACATCAATAACCCAGCTGAGCTCCCTCGTTCGTTCTGTGTGGCTTCCAGCTCACAGGATCTTAAAGAATACAAGCAAGAGACTAACGTGTCACTAGCAAATGCTGGTTCCTTTCTTTTCCTTCCTCCTTTCATTCATTGATTTTTCTGGTAGCTGTGACCTTAGAGGGTGTATTAGTGTGTGTGGGGGGGGGTATGTTCTGGATGCAGGGTGTGGACAGATGAACAAATATGCCAAGGTGTGCAGCCAGTCTGGCTTCTGCAGGGAAACTTCAACCTTTCCTGAAGTCCCTTCCTCCATGGAGGTTAATGAGTGATGATCCAAAAGTGCTTTTCAGGATGAGGAGGCCCTGTTTACCACAAGGGGAGTTAAGGCCACCTCCCTTCAGGGCGCCTTATGGATGGCTAATAAGTCCTTTGTGCACAAACATCAGTTGGGCTCTGGTCAAAGGCAGCATCCAAATACACATTGTTCCCGAGTTATGTTATGCAAATATAATACTCTTATCATGAGAATCAGCAAATGGTTGGCAACTGGCAAGCAAAAGAAAGCTCCCTTCCAAGAGTGCTTTGGGGGAGGCAAAACACAAAATGACACAGCATGAAGAGGGACAAAGCGGAGAACACCAGAGGGAGTGCCCACAGAGCTGCCTTTCTCAGGGGCAGCCTCTGGGGCAGAGTTCCATTCTGAGTGAGACTTCACAGAAGAGCCGGGGAAGTTCAGGCTCAAATCCCCTGTCACCTGTCTGGTTGTAAGACTCTTTTTGCCATGTAATGTTATTAGCTGCTCAGTTAAAAGGGAATCGTGTTATGTGGGCGGTTGCTAATTAATAAATCCCTGTCTTCATGTCATCAGTGTAGTGTGCACTTGGTGATTTAATCAGCTAAATTCAGAGCTGAGGGACTGGGGACAGGAGACAGGGTAGTGAAGGGTAAAACTGGAGAGGCCAGGATTTCTGGGGCTTGGCTGGCATGCAGAGGCCAATGAACACGTACCTGGGGGATGCTTTATTTTTTGCTTTTTAAAAATCTGACTTCTGTTGTTATGGTTATTGCTGTTTTCGTGGAAGGAGTAGAGGAAAGAAATTATTTGCATCAATCTTTGCATTCACAGCCCTATATACAAGATGCCTGTACAAAGAGGTGTGTGGTCAATAAATAAAATGACAAGGCAAACAAGGCTTTAAGGATCCACACAGATCTATGCTGTTTAATGGGGCAGCTACAAGGAAAGATGACGGGTCTGCAATTTCTCTACTATCACCTTCTGTGTGGACAGCAAAGTGCACCCCAGACCCAAGAGCTCTGGTACAGGGGGTGACTGTCACTTGAGAGTTACTCCTCCCCAGCCTGGTTTGCAGTCTGCAGATAGACGTTTGAGGGCTGGGCTGGGCTGGGCTGGGCAGTCAAGGCAGACCTGTCTGCCGTGGTCAGGGGCTTGGAGCGGGAGGGCAAGGCTTCACCCACTAGCTTGGCACAGGGAGCTGGAGAGAGGTCTTCCCAGCCGAGTAAAGAGACGCCAAGGGCAGGGAGGCAGACCCGGGTGTGTGCGGTCTGCCCTGTGGCAGGTGGTTTGCTCAGGGGGAATGTAATAAGCACCTTGGAAGCCCATCGCAGGCTGCCTGCCTCCCGCTTCCCCAGCAGGAAACCTGCCCGTGATCTCACCCACAGGTACCATCTAGGTTACCTCACACACAGGGCTCTCAGGCTGGGCTCCCCCAGGAGCCGCTGTGGCTGCTGGGAGAGTCCCAGTGCCTTTTCCAAAGTCATATCAAAATGACAAAACATCACAACACATTCAGCTCTAGCGGATTCAAACAGAGAGAACTTTTAAGTTTCCACTGTAATTAACCCTATCCTCGTTAAGATAATTATGATCAAGCTTCCTGTCACAGTTAATATCGCAGCATCATTGCCCGTGGCTCACACTCTGCCCTCATTAGCTTATAAAAACAGCGGCACTAACCAGGCTGCCACAGCCCTTCCAAGACAGGCCTGTGGTTGTGAGCTGCTAAGGAGGGGCCTCAGGAAGGGCAGCAGGGCCCACAAAGGGGTGGCTGCTTGAACCCCAAACTCTTCTGCTCCTGGGTGGGCTCACACTCAGTGGCCTTCATTCTATTCCCAAAAGTTAGCCACTTGTCAGAATGGGGAAGGAGAAGGGCCAGGACCAAAGCAGAGCCAGTAGCTTTGGGATAGATGAGCTACTAAACCATAGGAACCCCTTCCTGCCCTTTACCCAGCAAAAACCCAGCCAGAAAAATCCCCAGAGGACACCTCCAGGACAACTGCCTCCATTCAAGAACTGCCATTCTCATTCCTGGGGTATAAACTGTGATAAAAATTAGATCCCTCTTTTCTCAGCTCTCAGCCTATTCCAAGGATGGTGCTTCTGCCTAGCATGACACAGGCAAGGATTGCGGACACAGTTAACCACAGACCCTAAGAAGAAATGTCTCTCTCTGTGAAACCATAGCTAGCCTCCCAAACCCAGAACCAAAGGTCAGGATGTTCTCAAACCAATGAAGAAAATAAGATGTGAACTAATATCTTTACCTACCCACTCTACTATATCTATCCAGGTACCCATATCCATATTTTTATAACTGATAAAATGGGGAGGCTATGGAACTTCGAGATGACCTACTCTGTCTGTCTGCCATTCACCACGCTGACTAGTCCTGTAGACCTGCCAGGAACGGCCAGACCCCGCTCTGTTAATGGTCTTTCAGGATGACTTCCATCTGCCCGGGCCCTAACAAAAAGGGATCTCAAGGAACCTCCATAATACCTGGAAAGTTGTCAAATGCACAGTGAGGGCTCAATACCCCTTTGCCAACTGACTACTGCTCAGCCCAGAGCCTAGGAGCTGCTCAGAGAAAAGCTGACAGTAGGATCCCAAGAGCAGGACAAAGAGCCTGCCTCAGAGCAATCCCTGGGAACGTAGGAGTGCAATCCCTACGTTTTCCCGTTCCTTCGGAGTCCAGAATACCTCCCTCTATTCACCCTGAGGCCAGCATCTATGACCAGGCAGAAGTGACATCCAGTGAGTCTGCACCCAGACACCAGAACTGGTTATTAAACTATTTAATCACTTTTTTAAAAAATGAACATTTTACTTATTTATTTGACAGAGAGAGACACAGCGGGAGAGGGAGCACAAGCAGGGGGAGTGGGAGAGGGAGAAGCAGGCTCCCCACTGAGCAGGGAGCCCGATGCGGGGCTC